TCTTTCTAAAACGGATTTTGGTTTGATGATTTAATTCTGTTAATATTACGACTTTATTCTGGTAATTTTATGACTTTATTCTCAAAAAAAGAAAGAAAAAATCTCTATTTTTGCCCTAATGTTAACCCGATCTTTTATGATTAAATTTAAATAATTTAATGAATTAGTTCTGCAGAGCTGTGATCACTTTTATTCATTCAGGTGTCTTTCTGATGAAGTGATGTCACACTAAGTGGGAGGAGCTAAAGTGATGCAGATCTGCTTCTTTCTTATCAGAATCCAGTTGTTCACAAACATTTCCTTTAGAAGTATAACTGCAGTAAATTAGATTCTGCATGAACAAACTCTGCAGCAGCTTTTGAGATGAAATGTTAGCTGGAGCTCAAAGGTTCTGTTTGAGGAGAACGTGTTGGCGTTCCCATCTGGTCCGCTGCCTCACCGGAACCAACGACCAGAACCCAGACTTCCTGTCAGATTCAGCTTCTGAACCGGTTCTGCCATCTGGATCCAGAATAGGAAGCCTTTCTAATTGCTTCCAGAACGTGGTTCCAGATCCTTCTGGTTCTGATGGTTCTGGGTCAGTTCGCTGATCATGATCCAATCAGAGCAAACCAGTTAGAGATGGGAGTTAACGGGTCCAGAAACCAAACAAAGAAAAATTTTTTTTTTTTCCTATTTAATAACATAGATTATAGATTCTAGATCCGCTCCTTTTTACTCATTTTCGTTTGATAAATTTTTAATGGAAACCGAGAAGCAAACGTTTGATCGTTTTAATTTGATAAAAATAGATTTAAATTGTTTTCAGTTAAAAACCAAACCAGGAACCGATCGACTGATTCTTTGATCTCCAGAACTTTTAGATGTTTTCTTCTAATTTGATTCTAAATCAGTTTTATATTTTAAATTAAATATTTGAGATAAAAACCAATCTGGACCAGAACCGGGTTGCTGGGTCCTGTTGGTTTTTTGGATCAGTCACAACAGAACCGTTTGGTTCTGCTCTAGTTGAGGTCTGACCTAATGAGGTTCTGTTGGACCCAGTTTTTAGATTGTGGTTCTGATCCACTTCCTGATGGTCGGTTCCGGGTCCTTCAGGCTGAAACATGAGCAGGAGGTCCGATTGGGTCGGCATCAGATTTAAACGGTTTCTTTTCTTTTATGAAGGTTTTCCAGGAATTAAAATAAACTCAGACATCTTCAGGCTTTCAGCAGGCAGGAACGGACCTGTGGTTCTGGTTCAGGTCCACTGAACGGACCTGTGGTTCCGCTGAGGTTCAGGGAACCTCCTTTCATCACTTGTATCGGCTCCAGAACCTCTGCGGTGGCGAGTAAAACCCGTTCTAGAGAAGGGGAAGAGAGTTTAGTTTTGGTTCTGATCAGAACACGATTTGTTTTTATTGTGTTCTGGAACCAAACAGACCCAGTAGAACCGTCGGTTCTGCAGCCTCCTCCTCTCCTTCCCTCCGGGTCTCAACTCTATGTGTAAACCTTTATTTTTCTAATCAGAGTTCTGTGTGGAATTGAGAGGTTCAGTGTTTTTATTCCCCCCTCCTCTGATTTATGGGTCGACAGGCTGACCCGGTATCAGCGGTTCTGGCAAATCTAGCAAGCGGCTGTAATTTTAGTTCTGATGTGCAGAGTTCAGAGCTGCAGACCGGGTCAGACGTGACGAGGCTGGTTCTGTTCTGTCCAGAGGGAGCAGGAGAACGCCGTGGCTCGTCTGAAGAAGCAGCAGGCGGAGCTTGAGGCCATGAGGCTGCGTTACCTAGCAACCGAGGAGAAGGAGGCGGTGCAGCAGGACCGGAAGGAGCTGGACCAGATCAGGAACCAGCTGAACAGGTGAGTGGAAGACCCGTACCCTCAGCATCGTTTTTAAGGGTTGTCGTGGTGACCGAAGGAGTTCTGGTTCTGATCCAATAAAGCTTGGATAAACAGATTCAGGAGAACGAAAAAAAAAGTAGGACCTAGCTTAGCATCGTTAGCATCAAAGGCAGAAACAGCCGATCCAGAGCCCATCACAGCTGTCCCGGACTGGACCGGTCCGGACCAGACCAGTTCTGCGGAGTGAGGCTGAGCAGTAAACATCTTCCCTGCAGCTAAACCAGACCCATCCAGTTTAGCAGCTTTGATTTGACTAAAAATCTGAAATTTCTTCCTTTTTCTTTTTTATCGCTCTTCGTTTCATTTCCTCCCTTCAGGTTAAAAAAGCAGGAAGAAGAGAGGTTAGGCCCCGCCCCCGTAGAGCCAGGCCCCGCCCCCAGCCTGAATGAGAGCTCAGAGGAGCACCTGAGCCGCCTGCTGGAGGAGAGGGACACGCTGCTGAGGACCGGGGTCTACACGCACCAGGACCGGATCGTAGCGGAGCTGGACCGGCAGATCCAGGACGCCATGAGGGACAGGAGGCTCTGACGGCCGCTGTGCGGTCCGATCGGACCGGCACCGGCCGGCCGGGTCCAGCAGAGGGTCCGATCACCTGCAGATTAACCAGCAAACCGAACCTGATCCAACTTCAGGTTTTATACCGCTGGACTCGGACTGGGTCAGCAGCATCTGGTTCTGGAGGTTCTTCCATCCAGCAGATCCTCAGAGGAAACTAGCGGTTCTGATCCGACCAGAGAGCCACGGCGGTTCTGATCCGACCAGAGAGCCACGGCGGTTCTGATAATAACAGCCGATGTTCTCCTGAATAAGCAGCACAGACCGTTGAAGGTTTGTTCTTCACTAAAACCTTCCATCCAGCTAACGGGTTTCCTTTGGTTCTGGGTCGGAACCAGAACCTAAGGAAAATGAGAATCCAGTAAAAGATCAGAGCTGCAGAAGAACTTTGTTAATAGAACAGGACCGGGTTAGTGGACAGAAAAATGTTCTGCTAGAACTTCCTAATTATGTTCTGGTCCAGATTAGTCCTTCATTCCTGAATGAATTTAAACTCGGACTCGTTCAGTCCGAGTCTTTTCGCTCCAGGTTAAAGGATTCCAGCTCTGTGCTCATTCTGCAGCGGGTGGATGGACCCTCTGCTCACCTGGACCGGAACCACAGGGTCACAAAGTCTGACAGAAAAATGTTTTTATTTATGGATCCAAATGGATCTGTGAAAATGTTGGTTCTGGTTCTGATCTCAGAAATTCAACATCTTGGGAGATTCTGTTACAAAAAATTCACAGCATTGAAGCAGCGGGTCAGGGAGC